TTCAGGGCATCTCACCTGTTTTCTGTGCAACATGACACTCCTGCAGCATCAGCCTGTCTTTGGCAACAGCCAGCTTCTCCCCCAGTTTTTTGGCAGTGCTTTTCAACTCCAAATTCTCCTGTCGAGCCTCCTTGAGCTGCACATCCAGGTCCTAAACAGACAGAAAGAGTTTCATTTCTCTGATTACAGTTCTGTGGAGAGACATCCTATGCACACAGAATCTACATCAGATCTGAAAACTGGGCCAGTGCACAGTATATGCCCTTAGTCTCTGGAATTCAGTGTCTCAGGGTTCATCAAATCCCTACTCATCCTCTGATTGGCTGTGTGACCTTGGGCAAGTTACTTAACCTTTCTGTAGAGGATTAAATGAGATAAAGTATCTGGGGCAGAAAAAATGCTCAGGGGGTAGGAGGAATATTAGGTGCTGCTACTTTTAGAGATGGGCTCTGTGAGTCTGTGAGGCTCACACAACTAACTGACTTGTCAACGGTCTGGCTTTCCACAAAGTCCCAAGGATTTTAGGACGAGCAAGTTCTCAGGAGTGAGTGGGGCCTTTAGAATTCAGATGACCTGAGTTCAAAATTTTTTAGCCATGTGCCCGGCTGGGCCAGTCCTTAAGCATCTCAATTTCAGTTTTATCCTCTCATTTGTAAATTCTAAGTCTCACAGCTCTCTGAGGGCAGTGATCAAGTCCAGCTGGGTGTCTCTTGCCCACAGCCCCGGCCTGGCACATGGTAGGTGTCCCACAGATACTTGCTGAGTGAATGTAGTTGAACTCAGTGGCGATAATAATGCTCACTCTGGCAGAAGTCAAGTGCTTTGCACAGTGAGTGCCGGACACACAGCAGGTGTTCAGTATTAGGGGCCATGCTCACCACCCCATTTGGAGGCTGGAAGAGGCCCTGCCTTACCTGAATCCTGTCCTTCAGCTTCTGGGCGTACTTCTTCAGGTCGCTGATCTTGCGGCCTCTGTGCTCCAGATCCCCTTCCAGCTTGCGGACCTGGGCCTGCAGGGCCGACTCCTGGACCTGGAAGTTCTTGCGGAGGTCGGTCTCCTTCTCCTGCCACTGCCACAGGGCCTCGCTCACCGACTGCTGCATGGCCTGCCGGATGGCCTCGTTCTCCCGCTCGTAGGTGGCCTGCAGCTCCTCGGCCTTGCGGGCGTAGTCCTTGCTCAGCTGCTGGTTCTCCACCCGGAGCCGCTCCACTTCCAGCAGGACCTCCCGCATCTCGGGGCCGCAGCCCGGCTCTGCCTTGGGGTCGGGGCCCTCCTGGGAGAGCCGGCCCCACCGGGGCGCCTCGTGGCCGCTCAGGTGCCGGAGCCTCTTCTCGTAGTCGGCCTTGAGCTCCAGCATCTCCTTGGAGAGGCTGAGGACCCGCTCTGCGTGCTCGGCCTCCACCCTCAGCTCCCTCTCTTTGGTCTCCAGCCTGCACGTGGCCGACTGGGCCAGCGCCTCCTGCGTCAGCCTCTTCTGCAGCTCCAGGGCGCTCTCCAGGGCCTGGATGCGCTGGAGCAGGGCCTCCTGCCCCGCGCGGCCCTGGTCCTGCAGGAGCCTGGCCTCGGTCTCGGCCACCGCGTCCCGCAGCTCCTCCTGGTGGGCTTCGCGCAGCGCCTCCATGCTGGCCTCAGCCTCATCCTGGCGGGTGTTCAGGGCATAGATCACCTGCAGGAAAATGCACAGAAGCCCTTTAGCGTGAGGAATGCAGGTGTGGGGGTGAGGGGCCATGTGACCAGAGATGTCTGTGACCGTGACGGTCACTCAGGCTGACCCCTACGAGCCGCACCTGAGAAGAAGACTTGTGTGGAGGTGATTTGTCAGCACCTGTCCCCAGGAGAAACCTGTAAGGGTGCAGGGAAGTGAGACAGGGAAGTGATGGAAGCAAAGCGAGCGTGACACTGCCCGAAGGCCCACAGACGGCGTCTGCAGGAGTGCCGTGGGCACCAGCAAAGGGTTTAAACACCTGGGACACAAAAAGAACCCCTAGAAAACAAAACAGAACAAAACACAACAAAGCACTAGAAGACAGAACTCAGCAGTGCATAGAAAGGATTATACACCCTGACCAAGTGGGATTTATGCCAGGAATGCAAAGTTGATTTAGCACCTGAAAATCAGTTAATGTCATGCAGCACATGAACAGCAAAAGCCACATGACTGTCTCAATAGACGCAGGAAAAGCATTTGACAAAATCCAAGACGTCTTCCTGACAGATACACTCACTAAACTAGAATCAGAAGGGACCCTCCTCCTCCCAATAAAGCACATCTGTGAAAACCCCACTGCTCACATCGCACTCCACGGTGAAAGATGGACCATTCTCCAAAACTTCGGGAACAAGACATGGCTGTGTGGACGGGAGAAGACAGGCGGGCAGGAGGATGGCAGGGGGCTGAGGCACTGAGAATGACTCCCGGGTTCTTGGCCTGAGCAACTGGCAGATGTTTACCGAATGAGAAAGACTGCACAGAGCAGGAGTGGGCAAGAAAAGCAAGAATTCTGTTTTGGACCAAGCAAATCTGATATGACCCTAGATGGCCCCAAGGCAAACAGGGAAATGTCTGTTGTTCAGAGGAAGGAATCTGAGCTGGAGATGAAGGGCGTGCAGAATCAGGGTTGCTTCGTTGTTGGCCTGAGATTCCAGAGCACATCTGCCCGACCGTGGAAACGACCCCACGGAGAACGCAGAGGGGAAGCCCCAGGAAAGTGAACAGAGAGTGAAAGTCCCCAAGAAGGTAGCACACGTTGGTTGGTTTTGCGAGCACGTCCTCATGGGAGGAGAAGGAAAGGGGAGGGTGGAACCGGTGAGTGGGACTTTGGAGAACGATGGGGCTCTCACCTTGGAGAGGTGACAAGTGGCTTCTTCCTTCCCAGTGAGACAGGAGGTGATGTCAGGAACTGACAGTGGGCTGAACTGGAGGACAGAGAAGGCGTGAACTCACTTTTAGGGAGGGGAAAGTGGACTGTCCAGATTGGGGGGCAGCGCTGAAGGCTGTCTTTATGAAATCAGCTCCCCGCTTTGCTCTGAGATATTCCTCAGCCACATTTGGCTGAGGGAGTCCAGGCGAAGGCGAGGAAGGATGGTGGGTCATCATGGGCCAGGGTGGGATTTGGTGAGTATGACACAGGGAGAGATGGACGAGGCAGCTGAGGGGTTTTCAGGAGTCAATATGCTGGAAGGAGGGGACAGAGGCAGGTTTTTGGCGATGACAAGGTCACGGGTGTGGTGAAAGGAGGGTATGGCTGAGGCGGAGTGAAGGACAAGATCTCTGGAGGTGAGAAAGTCAAGAGACTCAGAAATCAAGGGGCCAGGTGGGCTCCGACGTGGGTGTTGCCCTCACTGGGAGTATTAGATGACGAGGATGACTAGGCGTCAGTGCTGGGCACTCCACTGGCTCCCCCGGGCATTTAAGAGAAGAAACATTCTTCTTAAAAGTCCCCACCACACAGTTCCATACGTACTGATCTTAAACCTTCGTGGGGTGCTGGTTTTTCCTTGTTCATGAGGCTTGTCTAGTGAACTAGACTTTAATTTCATCATCAGTTTCCTACTGCTTATTAAGACTTCACCCATGGTTTTCAAACCGTATCCCTGATAGCCCTGAGTCCCTTGGTAAGACTGAGGGCCATTGCAGGGAGCCTGGTGGGGAAACAGCAGGTGTCCCTTTGACCGGAGAAGACCTGTTCTTACACTGGGGCTTCCCTAATATAGAGTTTAGAAAAATCAAAAAGGTTTCCATTGCTTTAAAAAAGTTGAAAATCAGTGGGCTTAGGTGATTATAAAATAGAAGACCAATCAGAAGCATTATATGAGAGGAAGTTCTGGGTAACTGGTGTGTGTGTGTGTGTGTGTGTGTGTGTGTGATTACAAAACAACTGTTGAAAAGGCAACTAGAGGTGACACATATAATAACAATGGTTTACCTAGAGCCTGCAGAGCTTGGAGAAAGAGTAACCGTATATCCAGGATGCAGCCTAAGAACTTATTTTTCACTGTCTACGTGTGCCTGAGCTATTGGTCTATTGTCTGTCTCCCTCGCTAGAATGGAGGCTCCGAGAGAGAGGAGCTTGGTCTTTGTACCTCATGGCTCATCTCCAGGGCCTGGCTCAAGGTGGACACTCAAAAGATTTCTTAAACGGATGACTGAATGAAGGAATCAGAGCTCTGTCTGGAAGGACATAGTTGTAGACGAGTGTGAGATGAGCCTGCCATCTTGTGAAGCCTTGAGAGAATAGTGCTCCTTTGAAAATCACGAATCCAACACTCTCTGATGTCAAAGACAAGGGGAGGAAGTCCCTTCACCCTCCTAGAAGATTCCACAATGAAACGAAGCCGCTGAGCCCACAGCTCTTCCTTCTCATCACATGTGCACAGGATTTCAGTCGTTTCTCTGGCTTCCAGTGTCGTGTATCCAAGAGTACCCCAGAGTATCTGGGGTAAGTGAATGCTGAACGTGCTAACCCCCTGGTTGTAATCTGTGTTAAAAAGAAACACCAGTTTTACAGGATTTACTATATGCCTAGCACAGGGCTAGGTGCTGTACACATACTCATAATCTCAGAGAAAACTCATGGCAACTCTGCAAAGATGGCACTTTTCTCCCCATTCTAAGTATGAAAAACTGAGGTTCAGAGAAGTTAAGCAACTTCTGCAAAGTCACAAGAGATGAGAAACGGGACTAACTGAAGCGCGTGCTCTCAGCACAGTACTGCACTGCGCCTCGCTGTCCCACTCGAGCACTTATTCATTCACGCGTTTACTGAGTATCTCAGATGTGCCAGGTTCTGTGCTGGGCTCTAGGAGACATGCTGGCCCAGGAGACAACTGAAGTTGCAACCGCAAAAATATTACAATTCAGTGGGAGAGTCAGACAAGAACATGGTAAGTTTCAGGGTGCAAAGTGCCATGAGAGGCATCCATTACTAGGAAAGCACAGAGGAAGGGTCTAATAGAAAGAAGACTTCCCAGAAAAAGTGAGCCTTTCTTCCTCATCCTTGGGGGTGACCAGTTCCCTTTTACGTGTCAACCTCTGTGTTGGCAAGAACAACCTGACTTCCTTGTGTTGTCTCATAGCACGTGGTATAAAGTTGAGACGTCTGAAAACTCCCCATGGGCACACCCTTGACTTAACACAAGATCAGATTCCAGGTTGGCGGTAACAGAGAGGGTCTCACACTGTGCGCACAGAAAGTCTTGGGGCACTTTGGCTTGTACACATTTGTTCATGGTGTCTTGCAATTAAAATCCCCAAGCCATCCCCACAAAAGGCTGCCCAAACTGTTCTGTTAGGCTGAGATCTGGTTACAGAACTTTTGGCTTATCAGGGCTGCCAGACCCATCCTCTCCTGCCTTTCCCTGGAAGGTTACTCCAAGGGTCGTGTGTATTACCTGGAAAATATGTTATGTTATGTAGCATATCATATTATACTCATCACCATTTTTTATACACATACATGTTCATTTGCACCATGATCTTTTTAAAATTTCCCAGATATCTTGGAGGTTATGCCATTTCTGTACAATTTTTTTCAAAAGTCAATCAATTTTCCATATTTTTCAGCTTCACTGAGGTATAAGTGGCAAAATTCCTCATTTTTATTTTTGGCTGCTTCATATGCCACATCATACAGATGTGCTATAATTTATTTCTCTGCTCCCTGCTGATAGACATTAAGTTAGTTTCTCTATGGAAGATTATTGATGTGTTGACTTCAATGTTATTAAATCAAATTTTCTTTACTCTTTTTTTTCCATTCCTGCTGGTGAACTTGAGGTCTGCTTTTTGCTTACTAATGTAACTAATGAAATTTCAGAGCTCAGCCTTAAAAAACTCAAGTCTTCATAATTAATAGAGAATCTTAGGAAAGAGATTAAAAAGGTGTCTTCTCTCTGTGTCATGGGGGGAGAGATGCCATTTCGTGTCATAAAGCTAATTTTAAGAGTTTGTAGAACATTAAGAAGCATCAAACCCATTTCCCTGTACAACATGGAGACGTGTGTGAATGTTCACAACTGTGACCATGGCCAGGGCGCTCCCAGGACTACTCCGTGGGGACATCTTGCCTCCTCTCAAGTCAGTCTCTTCTTTTCCACTCTCTCCACTTCCTCACTCTCCCAAACTTGCTCTCTGAGCTTGCCCTCTTTCTTCTCCTAGTCCAAGAGTCTCTTTCTGTCTTAACATTCCTCCTTCTCAGCCACAACCAATCATTTCGACTACTTTCTTATTGATATCTTCAAATCCCCTGCCCACCTCATCTTTAGCCTCACATCTTTGGTATTATCAACATCAGATCAGCCCACCCACCTCAGCTCTTTTCAAACATCACTAACTGGTACTTAAGATTTCCAGCCTTGTCGGTGCTCTCCATGTTGTTACCATTTACTTGAGTTGTCTTGTAGTAATTCCCATTCCTCTTTCCCATAAGGGCTATTCTGATTCTCTGCCATGTTTCTTAGGGCTACAAGCCTAATTCCTGGCCCACTTCTACTCTCCTAGCGCATCCTATTATCTCCTGTGTTGTGAAGGAGAAACGATGAAGAGCTTGGACTCGAGATGCAACCAAACTCAGCTGGAGTCCTAGCTTCACTGACTCTGAGCTGGAGCCATATGGTTCAGTCTGTCCGGAATTCAGTTTCTTAGCAGTAAAATGGGATTAACAACAG